TTGCTTCTTCCCCCCCTCCCTCTGAAGGACCCCAGGGGTTCCCCCCCCCCCTCCCCTCCAGTTTCTGTCCCTGCAGCAGCCTCTCTGCCACTCCCCCCTGTGCCCTTCATGCCACCCCTGACTAAGTCTGGGCCTGGCTGCCTCTGTGGTGGCGGTGATACCACAGGCCTAATGACAGGGTGCCGGAGCGCTGCGTCCGCCTCGCCCTGCCGCCTCACCTGCAACACACTCACCAGTTTACACACTGCCACACCAACAGGGCTCAGCTGTGTGTGTGTGTGTGTGTGTGTGTGTGTGTGTATAGTTAGAATAATGTTGCTAACACTGTTACTAACTGGACGGTTTTACTGACAGTGGCCATTATGTGGATGTCTCAGCGTCCTAATTTGAACACACTTGTCACGCTACTGACACGCCGCTCTCACGCTTGACATGCTCACTGGATGAAAACAAGAGCGCGGCCAACTGGAGGGAAGGGTTGATGGGATGACGGGAGTTCAGGGTTCACTCTCCCTCCCTCAGAGTGACCTCCTGCTGCTGTGGTGCAGTGTGACCCGGTGGTGATGAAACCACCTGGTCCAGTCCAGTGTCTGGGAGTGGAGACCTGGATCCAGTGGTTGGGGTCTGCAATGCTTCACCATTCCACTGATCTGTTTGTTGACGTAGTTGCCTGATGACATCACAGGTGTGATGTCATCATGATGTTTGTTCTGTTCAATGTTTATAACATGGCGTCCAAGCAGTAACATTATAGACCGGATCAGAGCCTGGTCCAGGTTTTATTGGGACCATCTTTTGGGGATTCTTAGCCTTTCATTCATTCTGGTCCAGGTTTTATTGGTGGTGTTAATTTTTTGGGGGATTCTTAGCCTTTCATTCATTCTGAATCACAGGCCTGATGTCATTCTATACTGTACATTAAAGAGTTAATGCAAACAAACAAACAAACCTGTTGTTTCTATGTTGTTGTTCCTAGAAATGGATCAAACAGATGAGTGGAGTCAAACATGGAGTGTGAATCTGTTAGTGCTGGTCCACTCTGATCTAATTACTCACACACACAAAGTGAATGACTCTCTCTCTCTCTCTCTCACCCTCTCTCGCCCTCTCTCTCTCTCTACAGGTGGAGGGTGTCGGCCTGTATTTCCGCCAGCAGCTCCTTCAGTCCCGTCATCGCGGCGCCTTCGAACTGGCCTACGTTGGCTTCGTCCGCCTCACTGACATGCTGTGCAGGTGTGTGTGTGTGTGTGTATGTGTGTGTGTAGGGGGTGAGTAAAGGAACTGAAAGCTAACACCACTGAAGGTCTGTGAGCATTAGCGTCTGTCATGACAGTCTGTGCCTCCCCCCACATCAGTCAGTCCTCACCCCCCGTCGTTAGCTCGTTGTCTCATCTTTTCACACCTCAGATAAACTGTCCATGTCTTTGGACTCAGTGGACAGTCAGGTCCAAACCTCCTTCATCTGAGCGCCATCTCCTGGCCGTCAACTCTTTTATTTATTTATTTTTTAACAGTTAATTTTCCTGTTAATGATGTCATGATCACAACACGGCGTTGAAGAGCAGATGTTAGCAGTGATAATATATGATGTCATATTAAAAGTCATTTATCAAAATACAGTTTAATTATCCA